GTTAGACAGTGGATTTGCATAGGGTGGTTTGGATAGGGAAGATCCTGGCTCAGACAGGGGGTTGGTTTACATGACCTCTGGAAGTCCCTTCCAGCCCTACTTCTCTATATTATTCTTATGACCTCTTAGCTTTGCACTGTTTGCCTCTGGGCTTCGTGTAGCACCCTGATATTGCCACCTGGTTGCAATGCTAGGGCATTAAACCTCCACCAGAGCTAATGACTTCGACCTCTATCCACGTGGTCCGATAACGTCTGCGACCCACGCTCCTAGGGTCGTCTCACCCCTTTCTTTTCGAGCATCTTATCTCCTTGGCCTGCTTTGCAGCTCTGACTCCTCCACGCACATCAGTATTTTTTTGTGCTTCGCAGCGCCAGAGCCGTAAAATCTTTCCCTGCTGTAAGGGGAAGGAAAAGAAATAATAAAACACGGCAGCATCTCAGTTTAACTCAATCACCCAGGGGAATAAAAGAATACCACATGCGGAGATCTTTTACTTAACATTGTGATGTTTAATCTTGCCCAGTCAGCAGTTTTTGAACATATTCCAGGAAAGCTTTTAAGCTTGATAAAGCCAGGGGCTTTTGCGTTTTCAAGTGATACTCTAGCTACAAATGACATGCTCTACTTACACTGTCATTTGGCTTTAAGAGAAGGTAATTAAAATCTTCCTCTGAGTGCAGTTACACTGGGGAAAAATCATGTAAACTCAAAAAAATAATAATAAAAAAAAGAGCTACACAATCCCAACCTAGCAGTTGAAAAATATAAAGAAAGAAAGAAAAAAAAGCTATCGAAAGGATCAAATGCTTAATCCGAGGTGACTAAAGGGGCACCGGTGGTATGCGCTGCATTGTTGAGAACCAACATGCCGTGCAAGGCTGCTTCTCCCGTGTCCTATTAGGCTGACTAGAGAGCCCGTGAAGGGGTTGGCTGTGCTAGGCGCTGCCCATTTGGGTTGCCAGGAAAATTAGGATCCCATTCTGCAACAATACGTTGAGATTGAATATGTGTTCCCATTGCAACGTGAAACGAAACTGAACCCTTTCACTTTTTCTCTTTTTTTTTGTAATAAGAAAGACCTGACACCAGTGGTTACAGTGGTTACAGCCCTAGAGGAAACCCAGATTTAAACCCGTGATCTGCCTGGAGCAGGGACTGGAAATCAGGTCCCTTCATTGGAGAGCATCCTTGGAAAAGCGCATCTCTTTTTGCCATGGGAATATATAAAAAACAATGCTTTTTTTTTTAAGTGCTTCCCCAGCATTGGTGGATCAACTCAGCATTGCTCAGAGGGTGACAGAGATCAACCCTACACAGAAAGTCAGCTGCAGAGATGAGAGTAAGGACGGCTGACTTTTTGCCATGCGTCACAAGTCCCTGACCACACTCCCTTCTTCAGGGACAGAGGTGAAACCCTATTGTCCGTCATTTTTGGATCCATTCATTCTCTCCTATCAGGCAGAAATGGCAGGGGTTGCTCCCGCCACGGGTGCAAAGGAGTACGCCCGAGGGGTGCAATTCCATCTTGAATGCCCCGACATCTGGAAGGGTTCAGAAAGGTCACGGTGCAGGAATGGGGAAGGGCAATTCCTCCTAGGACAACACCACAGCTGTTTCATTCAACAGCCCCTGGCACATTCAGCAATGGAGAGAGGCTAGCTATTGAGTTCAGCAAAGCCAGACACTGTCCATCCTTCCAGGACCTGTTTGCTCTGGTTTGTAGTCTGATGCAAGACAGAATTTAACAACTGGCGGTTTGTCTGCAGCCTGCGACTTCCCTGGGGTCTCTTACCTCTCCTGGGAGACAATCGAGTTGGCAGAGTTAAGTACGAATCCTTATGTATTTGGTGAAAGGAGGCAGCGTGACTGCTATGAATTCTTATTCTGTTTCAGTGCATTTTGTGCCCCAAAGAGCAAACTGCAGTTGGTAAGTAGCAGGGATCCAGGTTGTAGCATTGACCCATAGGCAAAAGGCAAAACTCATAGTAGTATTGGTCCATAGGCAAAAAGAATAAAAACTCACGGCAGAGGTGGCATCTCTTATTAGACCATTTAGATATTTGCAAAAAAAAAAAAAAAAAAAAAAAAGTCTTTATTTGCAAGCTTTTGGGCAGAAGCGCCCTTCATCAAGCATAGGAGATTGCAAAGATTGTCTAAGTTCTCCTAGACAGAAGATTGCAACGATTGTAAAAGTTTCTAATTTGGAGATCTTTTACAATCTTTGCAGTCTCCTATGCTTAATGAAAGGCGCCTCTGCCCAAAAGCTCGCAAATAAAGACATTTTTTTGCAACTATCTAATTAGTCTAATAAAAGATATCACCTCTGCTATAAGCTTCGATTGGTAAGTAGCAGCACACGAGGGTCCTTAGCAGCCAAGACAGGAGAAATGGGACTCTTTTGACAATGATTTGAGTCATCCACAAGGACCAAGCGTGAGACCCAGTTTTAAAGCACATCATTTCAGTTTATGGGTTCAATCCATGCGCTGGTAGAAGTCGTGGGGTTGGTGCCTTGGCCTGTGGGTCATTTGTTAGGTTTATATGGTGCATCAAGCCAAAGAAATATTATAATGGCTTAGTGACCCAGTGCAAGTGGCTGAGCAAACATGGGCGTGCAAGACCCTTCAGTCCCTTACGGTGTCAGGAGCCTCGCAGGGTGAGGCCAGGAGAACTGCTCCAGGGAAGTGGGGAGCTGGGCTGAGCGTTTCCTTTTGCTCTTTCCTCCCTAAGCTGAAATGGAAACTCTTGCAGATGGGATGGATCTGCTCGGCGTGGCAGGGCCCCCACGATGCGCTGGAGTTGCAATGAAACACTGCCTTCTCTAGCAGGGGAGTGATGCCTACCCACAAAAGCCTCTCCGAGGCCCAGGTGTGGAGGTGATGGGGTCTAAACTGAAAGATCAGTGCCCTTTTCCCTTCTGGTTCAGAAACCCTGTCCTCTTGCAGTGGGGTTTCACGACCCTGCAGGTGCCAGCAGGGGAAGGAGACCATTTGTTTGCTCTTCCGTGTCCTTCAGGTGTTTCGATTTACTCCTACGCACACGTCTTTGCCTGTTGAACCTTGCGTGTGTCAATCCACAGCCCATTTTTGATTTTGTAAAGCCTTCCTCTTTAATTAAAAAAATCCCCAAACCCTAAATGTTGCCATTCAAAACCAGCCGGTAAATCCCCCTAAAATGTGACTAGTCAACCACTCCTTTTGAGTGATGTGACAAGTTATTTTTAAGCACCGGTGAGTCAGTCCATGGGGATGGTGCAGGAGAGGGATATTCTGAAACAAAAGCACTTGATATGCAAACATATTTCCAATATTTTTTTTTTTAACAGTGACTCAGCCCATGGGTCATATCATAAATGATGGTATGGGCCCGTTTCTGATGGCAGCACTCACATACGTTGGCAAGAAGAAATCAGATGCAATTAAACCTATTTTTTACCTTGCCCTCCTGAATATCACACATCAGGCTCCCCAGTGCTCTCCCTGGGAGTAGATCTGAAACAAATTCCTCCTTGATCTAGAAATATTATAAGCATTATAATAGGGCTTATTTAATCTGGGGAAGAGAAGACGGGAGATTTAATAGCAGCCTTCGACTCCCTGAAGTGGGGTTCAAAAGAGGATGGAGCTGGGCTGTCCTCAGTGGTGACAAAGGAGCAATGGGCTCAGGTTGCAGCAAAGGAAGTTGAAGTTAGCTATTAGGAAGACCTTTCTCACTAGGAGGGTAGTGAAGGCTACCCAGAGAGGTGGTGCACTCTCCATCCTTGGAGGTTTTTAAGACCTGGCTAGACCAAACCTTGGCTGGGATGATGTAGTTGAGGCTGGTCCTGCTTTGAGCAGGGGGGGGGACTCGATCTGCCCTCCCTCCCAACCTGAATTTTCTATGAATCTACAATTAGAAGGATTTCCTATTCCAACAAGCTGCTTTTAGTGCCTTGAACCTTTTGCTGGTGCGTTAGAGCAACAGGTGCAATCTTTAAAACAAAGGAAGCAAATATAACATGATTTCCCCCCTTAGAGATAAAAGGAATAACGTGAACGTTGAGTACAGTAGCCTGGATGAAAGATGCTGCAATGACTTTCTGCTGACATGTACAAATGCAATCTTAACCATTAACTTTAACGACCTGCAATTATGCGAGGGGGAAAAAGGGGGAGGGATCTAATTTATTGTAATTACCTTAATTGCAACCTAGCGGTCTCATTTGATGCTGCTGGCTTTGCAGTCAGGTGGGGGAAAAAATAGAAAGAAAAAGATTAGAAGGAAACAGTAGCAGAGAGTTGACTTCCCCCAAGGCAATGATGTAAAATCAGATCACCTGGGGATCCTATGAAGTGTCTTTGCAGGAATTGACGGTGAGCAATATTCTTCAACGTGGCTTTGAAATCACTTATTGATAGCTAGGGGTCATGAAGCTTTCAGCCATAGCAGGCAGAATTAGTGCAGCTTGGTCCTAAACTGGATTGTAACCACTGCTGTTGCTGCTACCACGGATTTCTTCCACCATTTCTTCATTGACCACATGCAGCCGATGGACCAGAGGTTGCTGCCTCCTGCTATAGCTGTATCTTCCTAACCCAAACCAAAAATAATGTACCCCCTGCCCCAACTTTTGCTGGAATATTCTTTAAATCTGACACTAGCAATGTTTGCTGGGATGAATGCTTGCTTCACAGCTCTCTTTAACCTTATCAGCCCCACTTTCCAAGACATAGAGCACTGATCCACATTTGCAGAAACAAAACATTTTGTTTCACCCAACATCATTCCCCTGACCCCCATGTTTCCTAATTGTCACTAATGCTTATGGCGGATCAAATGCAAAATGAACCTTGTTTTTCTGATTTTTCTTTCACCTGGCTGGAAAGTTTGAAACACAACAAAGTGCTGTGGATCAAATTTGACCGGTCCCTGCTCTTCCCCAGGCTCCATGTTCCCCATTGGTATAAGGGGGATGATAAATTCATGCCCTACAGATGTGCTGTGAGTATCAACTCCTTGATGGCTGCAATGCACTTGAAGCATTTCAGTTGGGGGCTCAGTTGTATACCAGCAGACTGCATTTTTGCTACTAATCTGCAGAAAACAAGCTGGAGAGGAAGCAGTATTGAGACTGGAAATTCAGGCACCTGGCCTAAGCCTTATGGAGAGGGGTAAGTGTATATTTTTTAATAGCTTCAACCATTGACAAACACTTTGCTGCAGTGGCTCAGCGAGGTTTATGCTGGCAACAGGCATAGCCTTTCACACCTGTCCGCTGTATGAATCATTGCTGAGTTGAGTTTGGGCTACGCTCCCAAACTACGAGCTATGTTGAACTCTCGGCAAGCTCTGCTTTTGATTTCAGGCAACGGTTTCATTGCTGCTAATAGAGGGAAGCCTTGTACGGGGGTCGGAGCACGTGGAGGGGTGATAATCTCCAACTTTTCACATGTGCCTTGCGGGGATGAACGTGCAGGGAATTGCAAAGTCCGGCATATTGTTACAGGCACCTTCCTCCCCCCACAAAAGCAGTTTTACTTTTGATGAGACAAGCATTTATTTGCTTTTTGCCCTTTTCCTTGAGTTCTGACAAATGCTGGAGCCGTAACTCAAAGGACAAACGGGTAAGGGCTTTGCTCCTTCAGGAGCCCCTAGAAACACAACACCTTCTCCAGGACAAGCTGTGGAGGCTCTGGGGCTTTTGGTGAATCAGACTAAAAATCAAATCCCAAATGCCAAACATTGCACAACAGGAGAGACCAGAAATGACCCAGAGCCCCCATTGGCAGTGTTCCCAAGACATATTTTGCAGTTTTAAGACTGAGATTCGCTTTGGACAAAAACCCAAACCTTGGTGGCTTAACAAAAGCAAACTGAACAGGGCTAGCCACCCTAATGTTTCTTATGGGATTTCTCAGCGAAGGCCAGAGGATCACCTATTGGTACAAATTGGCCTAGAGCAATTAATGTCAGTGGAGATGATGCTGTCTGGGTTGCCCCAGATATTCTGATTAAACCAGGGAGTTAACAGACAGGTCGGTCTCAACCCACTCACAGGAAGGATAAATCCAGATCTAGATGCAATGGCTTGTATCAGGGATGGAAGGGACATCACAAAGGCTCCAGTCCTGCACTCAGGCACAAATCCAGATTTTCTCTCCTCCTTTGCTTAGTCTATGCAGTAAGGGTCTGCTCCCCTTGCTGGTTAGAGCAGCCATCTTCTGATGGAAATGGTTCCCTATGGTTTGCCCTTGAGGCATCCAAAACTGAGGTCCCCTATGTACAAACACAGAACAGCAGATGATTTCTGCCTTCAAAATGTAGCATTTACATAAGCAAGATGGATGCAAGGTAGGAAAAAAAATTATAACTCACAACCAGAGCAAACTATAGGATGGAAGCAGAAGAATAGCCGGACCCCAGTGCACTCCAGCCATAGCCCAGTACCCCTCTCAGACCACCCACTACCCCAGGACCTACAACACCGAAGATACAGGCCTTCTCTAACTGGAAAGTGCAGGTCTTGGGGCCACCAGTGTACTAATGAGAAGACAGGAGCATATGGATATAATTTGATTAATAATTCAAAACTATTGCCCATTAAACAAGCGTCTTGGGTTTGCCTTCAGGGAAGTGCAATGGGCAGTTGCATTGTTTCTGCATTAATAAGAAAAAGGCAGAATGAAAGCAAACCATTGTCTGGCAAAAACACGCATAAATCGTGTCATGGCAAGGGAGCAGAGCAGCAGATCAGGCAGGGAGCAAAAAGCAGAGCGGCAGATCCGCAAAGATGGGGGGATTGGAGTGGCTCTCGGGGAAGGTGCAGGGGATCATTTGACAGGGAGGTGCCCCCCACCGATGTAAGGGGTTGAAAGGGAAGGATTGTCTCCACCGTCCTGAGGTCAGGGCATCCTCTGGGAAACTTTCCATTAACTAGTCGCTATTTGTAGCATCTCGAGGGTGAGATCGCGACTCTATTACGCTTGACACTGTATGCTTGTCTGAGAAGAGGTGCACCCTGCCCTTAAATGCTGAACAAATAAGGCAGACAAAGAGAAGGAAGAAAGGCCTAATGACTATGCCTATTATACAGAGGGAGAAATGAGGAACCGGGAGATTAAGTGACATGCCTTTACCGCAAGGCAATTCTCTCTTCATTCATTATTGTTTATTGTCTCCTCCATCGTGGTGACCGTGCCTTTGCCCGAAGGCAGCTGGGTGTAGCTCTGCATGAGCCAACTCCCTTCCATGCACCAGCGAGAGGGACCCACTAGACATTTGGACACAAAGGACTTCCCTCCATCATCATGGTGCTGCGTCAGTGGTCAGCTATTACAGATGTTGGATAAAAACCGTGCACAGGTGGGTAGATATATGAGAACTATATAGCACTATCTTCCTTTTTTTCTACCAGAAAGATTTGTCTTGCATTTTCTGCTGCTGTTAGTATTGCACCCGCTGGATATGAAGTCCCACTTGTAGAGGAAAGGATGGGTCCAGTGCTTCAGTGAAAGAGCTAGCACCCCTAGGCCATTGGTTCGCATTAACACCAGCCCCAACTGCACTAGCAAAGTTACCACCAACAGAGAAGTGTGCAGGGACATCAGGTCTCTGCCCAGGTCACACTGACTGGACAACTGGTCATCTCACAAATTTCCACTAATGGGTAGCAGTAAAGGTGAACTCTCTCTCGTTTCAAGTAAGGATGAAGCTTAACTAACCACTCCGGCAACTCACCCTGACCATGCCAGTAGCTTGAGTGCCAAACTGTGGCTGGCAGTCCAGAAGTCATGAGTTTGAGGCCCTGCACCACCTCTTTCTCTGCAGAAAAGGACCTGGGGGTTACATTGAACAATAAGCTGAATATAAGCCAACAGTGTGCTCTCATTGCCAAGAAGACTAATGGCATCCTGGGCTGCGTTGGGAGAAGTGTTGCCAGCAGATCCAGGGCAGTGATTCTTCCTCTATTCAGCACTGGGGAGGCCACATCTGGAGTCCTGTGTCCAATTTTGGGCCCCCCACTGCAGAAAGGAGGTGGACAAATTGGAGAGAGTCCAGCAGAGGACATTGCAAATGGTTGTGGGGTTGGGGGACAGGACTAATGAGGAGAGGCTGAGGGAACTGGGCAGATTTAGTCTGGAGAAGAGAAGACTGAAGGGGATTGAATAGCAGCTTTCAACTGCAAAGAGGATGGAGCTGGGTTGGTCTCGGTGGGGGCAGATGACAGGACAAGGAGCAATGGGCTCCAGTTACAGCAAGGGGAGTTAAGGTTGGATATTAGGAAAAACTTTCCCACTAGGAGGGTGGTGAAGCACTGGAAGAAGTTACCTAGAAAGATGGTGCAGTCTCCATCCTTGGAAGTTTTTAAGATCCGGCTAGACAAAGTCTTATCTGGGACAATGTAGTTGGGGCTGGGCCTGCTTGGAGCAGAGGTTGGACTAGATGTGACCTCCTGAGCTCCCCTCCAACCCAAATTTTCTCTGATTCTGTATTGAGGGAAACTTCCAGTGCTGCTCTTTGGATAAGTAGAAGACTTCTTTCTCCAGGAATTTTAGCATGAAAACTTTCTGGAGCACAGAAAACTATGAGGAACAGGAAAAATAAATCCCTTGCCACGTTTATTACTTTCCATTTAGCCAAAAGTTAACCTTTGGGGAAGTCGCAGTACTTCCATGTCTGGCACAGCTGGGGATGGTGAGGTAAGTCCCTTTCAGAAAAGATCTAACCCAAGGTGCTGGCCAACACCAAGACAAACCAGCCAGACTGAGAATAAAAGAGCTATATAATAAAAAAGAGAAAGTGCTGCACGCATAGTTTATCTACATGCCATTGCATGCTGGGACGGGCAGCAGCGAGACCGACATTCCTGTCTCCTTGAAGCTTTCCACAGAAACTTATTGAGAAAAAAACGATGAGATCAGCTCTGCAGAGGGACAACATTGCCCTTAAACATTGCCCCGTCTCAGTGCTTTACAGCAACGGCTGCCTTTACTTGACCTAGCAGAAGTGTTTTACACACGCTTGCTCCCGGGCTGAGATCTAACAAAATACCGGGCGCAGATTTTTCCAGATCCCGCCCCATCCCATTTGGGAATTGGGAAAGGTGAGTGAGAAGCCGAATGGACCCCCTCCACTATAAGTGATCAGACCCACAGTGATGGGCAGAGAGTATCTCACCCTTGAGAAACTCGAGTTGTTGGCACGTTATCCTATTAACACCTTCCAGTGATTTAGAGAAGAAGAAACAATCAACCAGCATCTTCCAGCACAATTGCATCGGACTGCCTTTGCCGTGCTATAGACCAACCAAGTAGTAACATTGCTAATAATATCTATACTGATCCATCATCCGAAGGATATCGCCTGCATAATGCACCACTAACGAACCGCTTTGAGAAGCTACCACTTCCCTCATAGTTTGCTAAAAGTGCGGGTGATTGACCCAAAGAATCAGAAACTGGACTTCAAAGGCACATGCATTCTTGGGGACCATGCTCTCTCTTAACCAAAGTACGTTATATTATTTATTACTTACCTATGGGTAACGCTTGCAATGACTTCCCCTCCTTCCACCTTCTTATTTGTGCCGGCAGGTAAAAAAAAACCCTTGAAAGGGAAAACCTCGGTGAGATCATGTTACAGAAATACAAGAAAGGTGAACCCCAGTTTTCAATCAGATGTTCTGTGCCAACAAGAGGTTTCTGACTGTGCAGCTTCAGGTATATTTTCAATTTGACCCAAGACTAATCACTGAGCGGTGTGTCCATCTTACGTTCTGACCCGTAAAGGTCCTAGCACAGCTGGAAGGATATCATTTCATTTGCTCATTTTTGCAATTATTGAACCTGGATGGTGAAACTGGTTTGGCCACTTTCTGCTCCTTGTCCTTGTGCACCTGTTGAATGTTACTATTCAAGTCTAAAGGGAGCGTTTGCCAAAAAAAGACGAGAAGGAGAATAAAACCTAGCTCTGCATCACCAGGTCCCTGAGACTGCTCTCACACAAAGCCTGCAACTACCTGCTGTCTCTACAGGGGTGTTAAGAAAGCCACTTCCACGGAGCAAACAGTGGGGTGATGATGGCAAACACAGACCTTTTTTGAGCTAATGCTAACCTCGTGCAGCAGGCGCCAACCTTTTTGGTGCGTGCAGGCCATAAATTAGCCTTGCATCCTCCTCCAGCTCCACTCCTATCCCTTTCCCTGGCCTGGTCTGCTGCTCTGCTTTCTGCTCCCAGCCCTGTGCTGCTTTGCTTTCTGCTTGCTGCCCTGTCTGCTGCTGGGCTGCCTTTTCCTTTGCATCTGCCATGTGCCGTGCAGAAAGGCTGCCCATACCACTCGTGCCCCAGATCTAGCCAGCTTGGATACTGGGAGCAGTGAAGCTGGCACGGCACAGGCTTCGGTGCAGCATGCACAGCATCGACCAGTGCACATCCAGCAGTTGCAAACCATACCTCTGTGGCTTCACTGCTAGCTGTTATCCCTATTTCCAGGTGATAAAATCATGCCTTTCTCCTGCATCACCTAGGTCACAGCCTGGAACAAGCCACGTGGCGATGGATGCCCCTCGACCCCAATCAGACTGATATTGGGAATAAATAAAACAACCCTGTGATTTTAACTGCAAGCAAGCACATCAACTCCACTTCACTCAGGCTATTTAATGTCACGAGCTTTTTATTTTATTTTTTTTAAGGGGACATTTTAATCATTCTTGCCTAGGTTTCACCTTTTGCTTGTGAAAGTGAGTTGTGGGCGGCTTGTCTCTAATAGTTGTCACCGCCCTGGATCAGACCTCATTCCAAATCTCTCTTGAGGTCTTACAGATCAATCTGCACAAGCCATCGGGAGCCAGGCCCGAGGAGCGATGGCTAATAAACCTAAAGTGCTGGTTGTCGTCTGTCGTTGGCTTCAGTCCCAAATTGCATGCATTAGGAATGCTGAAAAAAAGAAGAAATATGTAGGAAGCCAACATTTCCACATGCCGAACGATGAGACTTTCTGCCAGGAATCCTCTTGCCAGACAACTGTTTGGACATGGTGCCATGCTTCAGTAGAGTTATATGATTCAATCCCCCCAAGGGTGTATGTTACAACTGTATCTGGCTCCTTCCAAGATAAATAGTCCATTTTCAAGACTGAAGTTTACTGTATATATCCAGGGCACAAAAGTATACATCTCTAATTCAGAAAAAAAAAAAGGCAGCGGGATGATGATTAGCCCAGGTTGTAGCTTGTGCTCAGTGTAAACACTCGTGCATCTGTAGAAAGGCGAGCCAAAGTTGAGAGGAGAATCGCTTACGCTGCATTGAGATCTTCTGTTAAACAGGAGATATTTTAGCTATTAAACACCAGCACAAGCTTATCTTGGTTAACCCTTCATGGATCTCACCTCCCGTCACAGTGTGGCTCTTTCGATTGACTGTGATGGGAGTTGGATTGGTTTAACTTGGTGACAAGAGATGGACCCGATCACCAGCCACTTGTGAACACCTTGGCTGAAATGAGCTACGGTTGTAGGAAGGAAGGAAGGAATTAAGAGACTGTTGTCAAAGGTGTTTTCAAGTCCCAGATGCATCTGACAAAAGGTTGTTACCTGTAGAAGCTCATGCCTGTGAATCAGGTTTGAAGGGGGTACCCAGTACCCTCATCAATTGACTTCAGTTGGACATGGCCAACCCATCCTGTACATCTGCGTCTAGTTCAACACTTGTTTCCTGGGTGGGAGAGTGAAGCACCCCAGGGAGCTGCTCAGAAACACTCCTTGAAATAAGTGTACACATCACCATTACTTGTATCTTCCTCAGGGGTCAGGCGTAAAGTGACTTAGCTTCTTCCTTGAGGAATTACAGCCCTGTTCCCCGCATACTTGACACAGTAGAAATGAAGGCTGCTGCTATTCATCTCCATCCTTCTGCGCAACACAGGCCTAGCCAGGATCTGTCATTGCCGGAGCTGCGGCATCACGCAGGAGCCACCCCCACGCAGCACATCTGGAGCGGCAATGCCGCTCCAAGCACCCCATTTGGAAATAAAGCAAAAAAATAACAATTGGTATTGGATGCAGGGGCAGCCAGATCTCTAGTACCAAGAAAGGGAATGGAGCAAGATATTAGGAAGAATTTTCTTACTAGGAGGGTAGTAAAACACTGGAACAAGTTACCCAGAGAGGTAATGCACTCTCCATCCTTGCAGGGTTTTAAGACTCAGGTAGACAAAGCTTTGCCTGGGATGATGTAGTTGGGGCTGGTCCTGCTTGGAGCAGGGGGTTGGACTAGATGTGACCCCCTGACATCCCTTCCAACCTGAATTTTCTATGAATCTATGATTTCCTATTCCAACAGGCTACTTTTAGTGCCTTGAACCTTTTGCTGGTGAATTAGAGCAACAGGTGTAATCTGTAAAACAAAGGAAGCAAATATAACATGATTTTCTATGATTGCATGAAAGGCACCAGACAGAGGCTGAATGAAGCCCACTAGCCCTTGGAAGCTAGCTCAAAGCAAGATCCAAGGTGAAGGAGAAACACTCCTGCCCCTCTACCTCCTGCCTGCAACAGCCCCCGCTGCTCTCAACGACGCGGCCTCCTCGGTGCTGTGCTCAGACATGCAATAAATTGATAGAAGTAGCAATCCTGGCATGACGATGATTGTGGCCACGTGACTAATAAAGGAGCACGAGCACCATTAATTAGGGCGATACAAATAATAACCGGATTTTCATCATCATTCTGGGATCTAAACATGGAGTATAATCGTGGCTTATAAAAGGGAGCAGGGGGGTTGGACGCCGAGTCCCAGGCCAAGAGAATCAGCTCCTTCCTCCTCCTTGGCAGGCATTGCAGCCGTCCCTGCTTTCCTGAAATAGCTAAGAGCTGGGGTTGAATCAACGAGAAATCAAGACCTGGCAGCTGGCTGCACCACCTGTGTCTGCTCTGCCACCCCCACGCTGATCCCCTCCCCGGGGGCCGCGTCCAGTTGTGGAGCAGGACGGAGAATCCCAGTGACTCGAAATGAAGCAGGGGGGAGCCGCGGAGAGGCACCCCGGACTCCAACACTGAGTCTGTTGTGGAAGAGGATTATGGCTGGAATTAGTGCCGGTGGATGCAGACGAAGTCTCGGGGCAGCAACTGCGAGTGTCCTTTCCCCCAGCCCCTTCCCGGGGAATCTGCCAAGCCAGCCGGCCTCCGAGTCACCCTGGTGTGTCGGACACGCACAGCTGTATGTGCGCCACTGCTAATCCATCTGCACAAGATGCCGTGGGCCAGCTGCTTCGCTGGGAGTAGGCAGGGAGGGGAGTGCGAAAGGGGGTGGGCGTGCAAGGCCTGGGTCCTGCAAGTGCCCCCACTTGTGGAGCATTTGAGAAGCAGATCTAAGCCTGGTGAACTTGGGTGGGAAGGAAGGTCCCGTGAAAGCCAGGACCCTGCATAGCAGCCATGCAGCGGGGCTAACCGCTTTACTAACCGCCCTCGAGATAAACCCCTGCTTCTTCAACCTCTGAAACCAGTAACCTCCTTCTTGACTCCCAACATATGTCAAAACGCGTGTGTCGGTGGCCCAGCACCATCACACTCCTCCCCATCTCTGCCAGTGCAAAATACCATGGAGCTGCTCAGGGAATTCGTGCGCTGCAAGGGCAGGAGGAGATGCACCCTCCGATCCGTTTGCATTTGGCCCCGTCTCTGAATGGGACTGCATGGCTCCCGAAGCAAGAGGCTGCTACATCCCCCATGTCTCCCTCTGAAATACCTGGTGGGAGATAGCTGCCAGCTGGAATCGGTGCCTCAGTTTCCTTACCTGCAATAAAAATAATACCTCCATCACCCTTCATGAGAGATATTCAAGTCAAACTTGTGAAAACCTCATTCTCTGCATGTGGCAATGGAGAGGGGTTCAGACGACCTCCCTCCTATTCCCAGCCCTGACACGGACATCCTCTGGCACCTGGGATTCCCAATTTTGGACCTTTGCGCAAGGAGCTGTACAAACGCATATTAAAAAAGACAGTCCCCTCCCTGCACTGCTTGTAATCCCAGCATTGTACATCACTTAATCCCCTTTGTGCCCTTCCGTTCCTCCTTTGCAAACGGGAAGTAGCAATTCTTCCCTCTCCCCAACCTTTCGTCCAGTTCTTTGTGGGAGGACTGACTCTGGCTGTTTATATGTACAGTACCTAGCGCAACATGGCCCGGACCTCAGCTTGGGCCTGTCGGTGCTGTTGTAATGCAAGCAATGCTATTCGCTGAATATCTGTGAAGTGGTCGGAGAGCCCCAGAGAAAACACCTACGCAGCTCGGCCTTCTTTCACTGGAGTCATGAATCCCTTTGAGTTAATTTGAGTCAAATGAATCCCTTTGAGCCATCAGGGCCAGCAGATGGATTGCAGATCCTCCTCTCCCCCACCGGATAAATGCCTTGCCATAGGCTCCAGAACACGCAGCATGCTTGCCTCCGATTAGGGCCGGTGCTGCTTTCCAGCTTTCTGTCACCACACTATTGTTTTATAACTTGATACCTAATTTATTTTAAATGACAACAAATAATTTGGCAGAATTCCTCCCTCCTCTTTCTGGCAAATTCTGCTTTCAGATTGATAAAGCTGTTACATTGGGTTTGATTCTTCAGGGTGGTGGGGGTGCGGATGGTTTTGGGTAGGAACCCACAGACTTCAAGGGGATCTTTGGAAGAGTCCCGCTGATGCCCCCTCCCGGGTGCCAAAGCTGTCTGTCAAAAGACAGGCGTCCGTGCCAAGAATCTGTATGGACAAAAAGAGGCATAATATGCATAGCCATAGCCCGGTGGGGCTGGGATCCAGGGGCCCCCTGCCCATCGCAGACACTAATACAAAGAGGGGATGGGCTGTGTGCAGTGGGACTGATAAAGGGACTCTTCTGCTTGTTGCTTACTAATGAGCTGGACTCATTTTTTTGCCTTGGTGCATTGTCAGGGGGAAAGTAAATCCTTCCGTTTGGAGTATCTGGAGGGAGGGCGGGAACTCGGGTGAAATATTTCTTGCACGCAGAACAGAAGCGGCGATGCTGGTACTGGAGTGGAAACTGGATGGTGGGAGGTAAAAAGGATGGAGTCCATTAGGGAAGGAGTCATGGGTTGAGGGCTTTCCATACCTCTCCTCACCATCCTTGGCTCCAACCCAACCCAACTCAACCAAATGATAGCCTAGGACTATTGGTGTGACCGAGGCCAGAACTTCCAAGCTGGCCCCTAGACCCTGATCCTGCTTGAAGCTTTTAGGTGTGACATCTGGGATGCAAGAGCTCTGGGGTTTGAGCTGCTCCTTCGTCCATGAGAGCTCGGTTATCCATCCTTTGTGTAACACCTTCACGGTCGTGTCTACACTGCTCTGGATGGGTGCAACGTAGCCCCACTTGAGCTGCTTTCGAGCAATGTTCCTACATGGCTCTTAGGTGGCTGGGTCACCTCTGTTTTAGTGAAATCCAAACACAGACTTGCAGACCTATTTCCAGCAGCATTGGTCATCTGCACTTTGGAAAGTGCACGGGCTTTGGGTGCCTTGCTTTCCGGTATCCAGCTTGAGACACTTTGGGAGCATTTTCTAAGGATGGTGGAGGCCACTGCTGAATGGGACATGACTGTCAGATGCAAGTGTCCAACAGGCCCGGGGGGTTTCAAGACCGAGGCACCCAC